TATATATATATATATATATATATATATATTAGTTAATTTATTCTATTTCATCATACTAGATATAATATACAACAATATCAGACATATTGTTACGTATCTGTTTGTTTGTTGATTTCTTAAGCGATACACAAGTCCTTTCTTGATTAAAACTAGTTTATTCTTTCGTGATACAAATTATAGTAATACACAGAATTTCCACAGTCACTTTAAACTTCACACACTTTACTTACGGCTTGACTCAATTATCTATGCTCTCTGTGTAATGCGACTTACACTGTCGTAACAGTACCATCTGGTTCACGATAATAAAAAACATGAAGAATAGAACACCATTGTTAAACAACAACTGTACCATCTGGTTCATGATAATAAAAAACAGGTAGAATAGAACATCACTGTTAAACCACAAATGTACCATCTGGTTCATGATAGTAAAAAACATGAAGAATAGAACACCATTATTAAACCACAATTGTACCATCTGGTTCATGATGGTTTAACAGTGATGTTCTATTCTACCTGTTTTTTTATTATCATGAACCAGATGGTCCAGTTGTGATTTAACAGTGATGTTCTATTCTACCTGTTTTTTATTACAAATGTACCATCTGGTTCATGATAATAAAAAACAGGTAGAATAGAACGTCACTGTTAAACCACAAATGTACCATCTGGTTTATGATAGTAAAAATCATGAAGAATAGAACACCATTGTTAAACCACAACTGTACCATCTGGTTCATGATAATAAAAAAACAGGTAGAATAGAACATCACTGTTAAATCACAACTGGACCGTCTGGTTTATGATAGTAAAAAACAGGTAGAATAGAACACCATTGTTAAACCACAACTGGACCATCTGGTTCATGATCATAAAAAACAGGTAGAATTGGACATTGTTAAACCACATCTGGTTCACGATAATGAAAAACACGTAGAAACCAAGTGGTTGGTTAATCACATTAAAAGTATATATATATATTATACATTAATCTGTTGCTCTAGACAAATGTACCTGTTTTTCCCCTCCTCCTTGAAATTGCTCCTGATAATTATAGGTATACCAGTTGAAAGTTCAAGAGTTTTATTGTACTGCTGGATTCATATTTGGAGAGCTGTTACTTGACACTAATCCCTCAAAGATACCTTCAGCTTGAGAAGCAGACATGGTATTATTTTAGACATATCATACAATATAGGTAACTGTAAACAAAGATAACTACAGCTTGAGAAACTGTAATAGATTCGAAGATATTATCAAATTTGACATATTCTATTTCAAGACTCTTTACATAGTTAAGTAGTAGTTTGTTTGATAAATATTAGTACTATTGTGTCTTATCCACAAAATTTAAAATTATTGGTTCATATAAGTGATGCAGAAAACAGGTTTTTTTTTCTCAGTTTAAAACTTTATTTGGAAGCTCTCAACACTATCTATACGAGGTCAGTTGAATAGACCAAGAAGTTAAACTTCAAGACTACTGATTTTCTTAGTTTATCAACAAAGTTTTGTTTCAGTTATGATTAAATGATGTACTTTTTGTCTAAGTGTCTTTTTTTCCTGTTCTACCTAATTTTACAGTTTTTTAATTTCTTCCATCATTATTTTTTTACACGATTCAAAAGATTAGACTCAAGAAGTGTGTAAGAAAGAAAAAGAAGTTTTTTTTTGTTATTTTTCATAGTGATTAGTTAAAGCACAATGTAGGTTAACAGTGTATTACACTGAATGCTGTGAAGCTCATTGTATATCTTATATGAAAAGTTTAAAGGGAAATCAAAATAATCTGTACTGGAGTGTGCAGGGACAGTGTTAGCCTTTTCCCAGAGAAGGGCAAAGGTGGAAAAAATTGAGTGGGCTGCACTGTAGATCTTGTGAACACATATACTGTAGTATTTGGGAAGTGAACCAGTTTTATCAGTAAGCATTGTTCATTGAGTGTGAGGCTAAGGTTCCAGCCAACTCCCATTACAACTACCCTTGGGAGTGTAAAGTGAATGGTAATTAAGTAGGTTATTAAGTGCTATCATTACTTTCGATGTTTGTGCTTTGCCAGTTTATAGCTTAAGTAAATATAGAAAACCTTGTTATTTACACATAGAGAAAAAATTCATTGAGAATATCATATGTGGTTCCAAAAGATTTAATGGGATATAGTTTGGCATTAACTGTGTTTCATCGTTATTTAACAGATTGTTCTACCTCTTTGTTATATTAAGTATTTTACTCACTTAATAAATGGTTGAATTTGTATATTTGTGCACATGAATAGAAAATGTTTCATTACAGGACAAGAGTACAGGAGAAGAAGTTTGAAGAGATCTGTCAGTCCATCGTGGAAGCACAAAAGCAAGCATGTGATTTGTGGGACAATTTTGTGGAACTGAGGAAATCTAAACCAAATATGGTAATGTTTCTGTTTACATACAATATTGAAGTAGTTGTCTGTAGTTACTCAAACCCACAGGCATGAAGTCTGTACTTCTGTTTAAATTTGATGACAAGGATCCCACTTGGAGACTAATAATGCTTGGAGATGGCTTGAATGGGTAATGAATAAAAACTTTAATATAAGTTTAACATAATAGCAAATGTACAATGTTTCGAGAAGGTTTTGTCACCATCAGGTACAAGTAGTTTACACTGACACACATATATATATATATATATATATACAGTATGGAACAAAGAGGTCACATGACTGGATACTGTTGCAAGACTTAGAAGAGATATCTTGGCACCCC